TATCCGAAAACTTGAGAGTGAAATCTCTCTATTAAGATTTCAGTCTGAAGGTTCAAAAATAGAAGCACTCAGAAGAGGTATCAACAACACAAGGCCTCAATCTCCTAAACTCACAAAGAGCTTGGCAGTCTTCGAGGAAAATCTTGGCTCTGGTAGTGTGAAAATCGAGAGGGAGTGTGTTATGTGTTTGAGTGAGGAAATGACAGTGGTTTTCCTCCCATGCGCTCATCAGGTTCTTTGTGCACAATGCAACGTGCTTCACGAAAAGCAAGGAATGAATGACTGTCCTTCTTGTAGGACGCCAATTAAGAAGCGGATCAACGTTCAATTTGCTCGTTCATCTAGAAGTTAACGCCAGAATCATCTTAAGAATGATACTCATACCATAATCCATTGTCAAGGGACATACAAGACAACTTATCATTGTCCCCCTTTTTTGGCCTTTACATCAACCTTAGCCGAATTAGTTGATACAAAAATGCAAAAAGGTATAGACAGGTAGTATTAAAAGATTGTAAATTTTTAGTAAAAGTTCAATTATCAAGTGTTAGATCATCTTGTACTTAACAAGAAAACTTGGTTCAATATCTTTTGTATAATGGTTTTCTTTTTTGCTTGCTGATTCCAGTTTCCCAGTGCTACTAGTACATATTATTTTTGCTTTGATTATCGTAAAATATGTTGTTACTACTGTTCTTTTTTTTCATTATTTTCTACTTGATTTCCTTTTCGCACTATTTTTTTTATATGTTTTGCTTGAGTTGAGGGTCGATCCCTCTATCCTCACAAGGTAGGAGGATTAAGGTTGTGTACATACCACCCTCTCTTGAGGTCATTTGTGGGATTAGTCTAAGTATGATGTTGTAAAATATTTTTCATCTTATTATGTTGGTTGGTGTTTATTTTGGCAATCTAACATTAGGAAATGACTTGTTTTTTCGAAATATACTTTATGAAAAATTGTTTTCCTTTCATAGTAAATAGTTTTCATGAAAATGTTTTACTTTAAAAAGCTATTTTCTTGATAATTTCATTTTTTTCCTTTCATAGTAAATTGTCCATTTTTGTTTTATGCTTCTTTAAATGTTGATATCAAATTGCTTATTAAATTTTTTGCGTACATCCTTGGAGTCAACGTGTAATGTTAGAGTTATGAAATCATCATTAAATCGTATATATCAAGAGAATTACGTCAATTGTCGTTGATATAAATAATAAGACTAGGCTATAAGGAATGGAGTCTTAATGTTATGTAATGCTTTCCATATCTTTTATCTCGACTTCTTTACTTTAGTAATTTTTTTTTTTATATATATAATTGCTTCGATTTTGCTTTATTTGAGGCGATGATCTATCGGAAACAATCTCTTCATCTCCAGAAGGTAATGATAAGATACGCGTACATACTACTCCTCAAACCGCACTTGTGGATACGATTATTATCTTAAAAATGGCAAGCTTAAGCATCAACAGGTCGATATGTCCGAGTGGTTAAGGAGACAGACTTGAAATCTGTTGGGCTTCGCCCGCGTAGGTTCGAACCCTGCTGTCGACGGTTTTTTAATTTGATTCTACTTACTTTTCGATGTTTTTCGTCCTGACCTTATATACATAGCTCGAGCTTAAAGCAACCTTCTAGATGCATGTATCCATCCATTAAAATCGGTTCTACGATCTAATGTAGTGGACGTTTTGATGGTGCAGATAGGCAGATTTGAGTGTAATTTTTAAGATTTTTCGATATTGAACTCATTGCATGTTGAAATCATGAACACAAATTTAATATGAATCAATATATCTATATCTCATGTCGAAAAATCTGAATTCAAAGAAGTTCATAGCAAAAAAGCTACATTTGTCTCTGTTCACAAGCATGAAAGACCCACAAGGTAAATGGGAAAATAAGATTCTCAATTGGAACAATATTGATAATCTTTGTGAGATAAAAGTTGTTTATAAACAATTTTTTTCGAGAAAAAGATTACTCTTGTAATACATATAGTATAATCACTCTATTGTCTATTTCTAATAAACACAATAGATCAAATTTTGGATCTAGTAATGAAGTACTAACTATTAGTAGAGACTGTTATTAAGGAAACACTCTAATCCAACAACGTTAGTTTCAAGCAGAGCTCTTTTCCTAGGCTAAACACAATAGACCTAATTTTTGGTCAATTTTGGATCATGTAATGTAGTACTAGCTAACTGTTAGTAGCGACTATCATTAAGGAAACACTCAAGAATGGATTAAATAAGTATAGGTTGCCTTAGAAAGGCAATTAGTGAATCATTAGTTTCGGGCAAAACTCTTCTCCACGACTTTCTCCATTCACCAAAAAAAGGACAACCTAATGCGCTAAGCTCCCGCTATGCACATGGTACATGGAATGGAAGGGTAACACCTTAAGGTTCTATTGTACGCAACCTTATATTGCATTATATTTCTGCAAACAACTGTTGATAATTAACTCAAACTCGTGACTTCCTGATCACATGACCGATTAAGTTAAAGACTCCTCGCTCGTTCATCAACTTTCTTCTATATGGTTAAATTGGTTGATTTAGTTCAAACAATACATGCTTGACAAATATTTTCCAACAATATTATTTGTATAGTATATCCTCCTCTTTTTCTGTGATATTACTTGGAGTATTAGAAATGTTATAAAAGATTAAATAAACTCAAGCGTCATGACGTCGATATGTCCGAGTCTGCTGTCGACGATTTTTATTTCCTATTTTTCGACGTTTCTTTGATTTCTATTACTATATACCTTTATCTTTAATTATCTTATTATTTTGTTGTAGTTATTGTTCCTTTTTCATATTGTTTAGTATTTAGCCTTTGATTTCTTTGTTCCTGTTATTTTCTTAAGCAAATGGAATAGCATAATTAGTTTCTCTACCTCCCAAAGATAAGGGAAACGTCGACCTACACAATCCCCTCCCCAAACCTCACTTTTAATGGAAGGATACATCTAGAAGTCAACAATACAATCATGTCACTTTAAGCTCGAGCTATATATATAAGGTCAGGTTGGAGCAAACTAGCCTAGTTGTTGTACCTATAATTGCATCCAATGGTGGAAATACCCTTCTTTGACAGTGCAATATCCCAAGATAAGGGTAACGTTGACATACACAATCCCCCTCCCCACACCTCACTTTTAAAGGACGGATGCATCTAGAAGTCAACAATACAATCATGTCACTTTAAGCTCAAGCTATATACATATAAGGCCGTATTGGATCAGACTAGCCTAGTTGTTGTACCTATTTGTTGCATCCAATGGCGGAAATACCCTTCTTTGACGGTGCAATACTTTACGAAAAACGTCGAAAAATAGGAAAAAAATATAAAACGTCGACAGCAGGGTTCGAACCTGCGCGGGCGAAGCCCAACAGATTTCAAGTCTGTCTCCTTAACCACTCGGACATATCGACCGATTGATACCAATGTATTGTATCAGTTTTGTTATTTAGCTATTATTTTATTCGATTTTTCATTATATAAATAAGATGAAATATAGATCAAATAATACATTTAATCAAATGATGAAAAAGAATGAGTAGTAGTAATGACTAAAATAATACCCTATAATAATAATAATACATATTTGATGAGATACCGGAACACTCATAATCTCTTAGAAACGTATAATGCAACAAGTCAACAAGAATTAGCTTGCACGCCTATTAGTACCAGCCAAAATGAATTATAGTTATTTATTTCATTCTAGTTAGTTCTTTTTACAATATTTCTAATTTTTTATTTTCAAATTCCAAAACCATACTAAGAAATCAAAAAGATAGGTTCAATATGGTTTTTTTTATTTAACCCGAATAAAAATACATATAAGGAAAAATTACGTTTTATGTCTATTTTGAAAATACTTACGATATGTAGCTCATACTTATGTATAAACATACGATTTAACTTATATATTTGTGTATAAATATCTTCTATACATTATAATACATTTTATATAAAGTTGATACATTATATATAATAATTTTCTTCACGTGTATATTGAACTACGTGACGTAAATATTTTTGCTTTGTCCATCTGGTGCATTAAATTGAGCAGGTCATGTTTGACAGAGTGAGTGAAGATGACGGATGACAATGCCCATTTGGATGCCACATCCAAATGGGTATTTTAGTTGCAAAAGTTCTAGGAAAGTTCTCACCAAAGTCAATAAAACACCACTTTGGGTAGGGGTGGATATAACTATTTAGCGGCGGGTTCATCTGAATCCATTATTTTCGAGGCAAAACATAAATTTATATGTTAAGTTCACTTAAAGTGTCAACAAATAGTAGGCCTAAACAATAACTTTAGTAATATAATCAGTTCAATGCTAAGAATCTTAAAGGTTGAACTCATAAAGCTTAAATTCTAAATCCGTCTCTAATAATGGAGAGTAAAAGTAGATGTATAACAAAATATAATGGTGTTAGACCTACCAAATTCTTGTTTCACCCGATGTTGGATCCCTATATTATCTTGTCCACACTCTAGTTTTCTTGCCGTGTGTGGAGGTGGGGGTGGGGGTGTTACTCAAGTTAACTCTAATTAATTTGAACGTCTTTCTTTTTAACTAGTATAATCCATAAATAATCTATGTATCTCGATTTGGAAAAGTAAACAAGAATATTGTATCCTCATTAGATGCAATTATGCATCCCAAAAAATACAATAAAAAATAAATAATCTATATGTACATCGGTTAGGAAAAGTAAACAAGAATATTGCAAATATGCATCCCAAAAAAGCAATAAAAAATAAAAGAAGCAAAAAGAGTTGTAGAAAAGATATATATATCTATATATTTTGGTGTAAACAAAAGCAAATTCTTTACACTTTTTTTTGTTATGGGGAGAATTCAAGTACTCTCTTTCGGATTCAGGATACAACACTCGAGAAACAATTAACCTATTGATATTGAAAAATTTGACAGAAAGTATACGAAATCCCTTTTGTATTATGTAGGTACTACCTCCCTGAGAGGATAGACATTGTATAAGAGCGAAGCGAATTAGTATCAGATCTTGCCATGGCTGCAGCAACCCTAGGTATCCCGGGATGATGATCCACACCCTCGTCTAATAGATCGAGGATCAACATTGTCGATTGTCTAGGCGCTTCTACTGGCCCACGACCTTCCAACATTTCCACGACTCGTGCCATTGTTGACCTAAGACTAGGCCGTTCTTGGATGCAAGAAAACGCCACACACGCCAATCTTTTCACTTGCATTTCTACAGCTACACCTCCTATAGCTGCCTCGTGGACGAGCCTCTCGTCCACGACTTCCATGACCTTCCCCTGCTCCAATTTCTCACTCACAATCTTAGGAAGGTAGCTGAACTTACTCTTTGAATTGATACTCTTTCCATTTTCAGTTAAAGTAATATTTCTCCTCCCTCCAATCATCTCCAATAGCACCATTCCGTAGCTATAAACATCACTTTTCTCAGAAATCCCGTTCTCCAGGAGCCACTCGGGTGCTAAATACCCCCGAGTACCCCTAATCGTTGTAACAACTCTACTCTCAACTTTCCCCATCAACTTAGACAACCCGAAATTAACTAGAATAGCACGATGATTCTCGTCTAGAAGTATATTCTCAGGCTTGACATCGAAATGTAAAATACACGATCTACAATCATGATGCAAATAAGAAAGTGCCTTAGCCACATCTAGACCAACTCTACACCTCAAATCCAAGGACAAACATCCTCGAATTCCCCTTTTTCGAAAAATCCAATTATCAAGTGATCCATTAACTATATACTCGTAAACCAAAAATCGAGGTCCTGATGGAGGAACACTACAATATAAACGTACAAGATTAACATGTTGAACACTAGCAATAGCTGCAACTTCTGATTTGAATTCCTTATCGCCACGCTCCTCTCCATTTATCCTTTTCACAGCTACTGATGCACCATCACTAAGCACACCTTTGAAAACACAAGCTGATGATCCACGTCCTACCAACAATCCAAAGTTATTGGTTGCTTCTTCGAGCTCTTTAAGCTTAAATCTTGTTGGCACACCAGTTACTTTCCTTAGGAAACTATGCAGGAGAGGTATCCAGTCCTCGTAGTACCTGATTTTTAAAATAATAATAAATAATGACGTTCATCTAAGCCAATTGAGCTTATCATGACTAATAAGACATTGAAAATATGTATAAGAGACTTGCCTGAATGCTTCTTCGCGACACTGCTCAGCAACATCACAGAAAAGGTGCACTACAATTCTTCTTTCTTCTGCTGTTCTATCATTACTCTGTACAGAAAAGTGAAAAAGAAACGTGTAAGGCCAAAGAAACCATAACAATTCCCTGTAGAATTAGCAGTTTATATCAATTTAGTCACTTTTGATGCTTCAGTAAGAGGTGTCATGAATTGAATTATACGTATAGTACATCATAAAGAGAGAGACACTTACCCACATAAGTGATACATAAGGCAAAAACTTGTCTAAAAGGGGCAAGAATGATGCCTTGAGTTTTTTCACCATCGTTCCAAGGCAAATGCCAATCTGAATTCAGGAAAAAAAAAAAAAAAACCAACGAAGGTAAGTCTAAGATCCTGTTAAGTAATATATATATTAGAGGCTCCGTTGAGATAAAACACTAACGTTTCTACATATAGTTACGTGTTGTTGAGCTTCCTCCTTAAGTAGTTCCTGCTCCCTTGAATCTGTGTGTTCTTTAGATCTTTTCTCTCTTTCTGTCTTGCGGTATGAGCAAGTTAAGAGAACTTTTGATATGCCTTCAACAAATTTTTCAGCTTGATGTTTACTTAGACGTGAACCCGGAATCTGTGAGTAAGTACTTTTTAGTGCACAGACAAATAAGCTATACAGAAGACAAAAGAGTTAATGACCTGAATGCTTTCGTTGAATGCCTCCAATAGTCTTGCTTGAACATGTACCTTTGACTCCTAAAAAGCAGAACCTCCTTAGGATCGTATCAATATTGATTAAACTTTTGCTGCAACACTAGGTTATTTACCTTCTTTAACGCGTCAAGCAAAGTTGGGATGATTAGTGTTAGATAGCTTTTGAACTGGGGACTTGCCATAACCTGTTACAGGAACCCCTTTCTTCATTGCACAAAAGAAGCTGAATTTAACAGTAACGGCATAGCTACAAAAGGAATAAATGAAATTCAGAAAACAATCAGATTTGGTTTATAATGCGGAAATGAAAGATTAGAAGAAGACTCTTGTAGAAAATTTACCGGAACTGGCAGTCATTCTTACTTCTACGCTGAATTTACCGGAACTAAAGCACTAACAACCTGCATAAACCATAAGTTAGGTAAAAATCTGCATGCTCCTTTGTAAGCCTTGTAAATGAGATTAGCTATGACCTGTAATTTTCTAGACAGACCTCATTAACCCATAAATGCAGCCGTCCCTTTAACTCAGCTGCAAAGCAGCATAGAATATGACAGGCCAAGGCCTTCTCTTCCAGAAGTGCACTTCTTATCCCGATCTTTTTTCCTGCAACCAACTTCAGGTTACAACAACAACAACATACCCAGTGTAATCCCACTTGTGGGATCTGAGGGGGGTAGTGTGTGCACAAACCTTACCCCTACCTTTGAAGGTAGAGAGGCTGTTTCCATTAGACTGAATTTCAGGTTAGTAATGGAAATTTATCTCATCAAACAGTGCTATTTAAGTGCAGTGACTAATGACCTCATAAAACATCTGTGAAACCCTAAGTGCCTGGAATGACCAGATGTTTTCCTTGGACTACGAGATGTTGTCTCTAAATAAACAGGCAGATATGCAGAAGTCACTTAACGGATTCACTTTCTTTACATTCTGATTCAACATAGTAGTTTCATATGGTATAGCATGTGTGGAACTCTTAATACATGGTGAAATGAAATTCAAATATACGAAAACTCACAACCATCTACATCTTTACATAGTACTAATACCTACATCATCCATGTAAATTAAATTTCGTACAAGTTGTTATAGGAAGATCCAACCTTTCATCATCAGAATCATCTGTCTCTGAACTATTGGAAACACTTAGCTGAGCAGATTTTAGCACAATGGGCATGGCAAGACTTAGATAAGGAAGGAAATCTTCCCCCAAACATTTGCATAGTCTACCGTATGCCTGTCATAGAATCAAGTGTAAATTAGCCAAAAACTGAAAAGAAAATGGAAGTTGCACAAAATTCTAAGTTGTATCAACATACTAGTAACGAAAATTTCCTCATTGGATCTTCCATCTCTGTTTGAGTTTCTTGCAATGAAATGAGTACTGCAGTGACCTAAAATGGCACATCACATAAGGTAAATGCATTTTCAGATATGTTGATAGTGTCACATTTATATAATGCCTGCTAAGTACTAATGGAAAGATATAAGTTGTATGTATTCACCTATTCAACATAACCATGGATTGCTTGATTTCCAAAAGCCATTGTAACCATGGTAATGCATTCCATGGATTTGGCAAGTAGCGTGCGACTTGTATCTTTAGTAGCAGTTTCCAAGATAACTTTCAGATAAGGAATTATAGAATCATATATGTAAGCAGAGTCTTCCTGCAGTATCCCAGGAAAATGAAGTTTAGAACACCAGAGATTTAAATAAAAGAAGTTATTTTTGAGCTGCTGAAAGCGAAGTACCTGCGATGAAATAGCTACAGAGGCTAAAGTTTCAAGAGCTGCTTCTTTCGTCATTGCCAGTCCTCTCTAGAATATGCAGCAAGTTAAAAGCTTACATCATTTACTCTAATACACGTGAACAAATAAGTATGTTGTAGATTGGTAAAAGGTGACACTAATTTACTCACTATTTTGTGCAGGTAAAGTTTCAAGTCATCTGCTCTGCAATTGCCACTGAACAACCGTATCACTGAAGCTGCACGTGTCTATACAGAAAGCATATCAGTCGCCAACTATATGTACTTGCAGCGGACAAGTTTTGATATGTCAAGAGTTCAGATGCTCAAAAGCTAACTAATGCAAAGGTCAAATGTCATAAACAGTACCTGCAACCTGGGATAATCAAAATCATCCAATACTTCTATCAAAGCTGGAAGTAGCTGCCAAAGATACTCCTCTTGAAAACGCGGGCTCAGATAGGTTGATAGCTGACCAATTGTGCGAATTTTGGCCCAACGTACTCGAGGGTGGCTATCCTGCATTAGGTTCACAATAGACTGTCCAAATTTCACCATCTCCACTAACAATGCCTGGGAATTTCCAAACCAGAAATCAGACTCAAAAAATATATTTCAGTTGCCAAAAGTAATCCTAGAACTTAAGATGTACTATGTACTACCTTTGAGCATCCGTCTGATATCAGTCCAAAAGCAGTAACGGCAGTGTGATGAATTCTCCAATCTTGATCATGCAAGAACTTGAACAAGCACACAGGGCAATTAGGCAGAGTTGCATCTCCCCCTAATGCAATTGCTAACCTCTAGAAACTCTCCATACCATAACTACACATACTCAGAGGCGTATTGATAGAAACTGATATGAAATGAAATGAAAATGAAACTTTACTGGTTAAATAAAGTGCAAGAATCTTAAACACTGCCTTAACCAATAACAATGTCCGTATGGAGTGGACAAATCTCCAGATATAAAGAAATAATAATATTTTTCCCTCCCAGAATTCTCCTAAAATACAAATATTTATAGTAAACATAAATAACTCCTAATAGATAGATAGAAATAGTTACTGCTGTAAATAACTGTTGCTGCCTGCTGGTAATAACTTCTACACTTTATAACTACTATAGATAATTACTGCTTATATATTTTATCCTACTTAATACAAAGAAAGTAAGACAAATAAACTAAGATAGATTATTTCCACATGCTGCTCGCCTATATTTTCTTCTAGAGTAAGTCCTTAAAGGTGCATTCGTATCAGTGCATCCTCCCTGAAAAGTCGCCTTGTCCTCAAGGCGAAAAGAAGGAAACCGATCTGCAATGAGATCATAGTTTTCCCAACTAGCTTCTTCAAGCGGACGGTCAACCCAGTGAATGAGCAGTTCCAAAGAATAAGAACTAGCTTCTTTAACCCATCAATGTGCAAGAATCTTGGCAGGAGATATGGTGAGTTCTTAATCTTCATTAAGAGGAAGAGGGGCTGGTGGTATAACAGCTTGCTGACCATGAGCTGGACGGAGCAAAGATACATGAAAAATCTGATGTACTTTGGAGGAAGCAGGAAGCTCTAGTTCATAAGCTATAGGTCCAACACACCGTACAATTTTATATGGTCCAAAAAATCAAGGTGACAATTTTTCGCACCTGCGATGAGCCAAAGAACGTTGGCGGTAAGGCTGAACACGCAGAAAGACAGAATCTCCAACTTGAAAGGTAACATCTCGACGATGAGAATCAGCTTGCTGTTTCATTCGAGTTTGAGCCTTTAAAAGGTTATCCTTGAGAATTTTCAGCATGGCATAACGATTCAAAAGTTGCTCTTCAAGTTCAGCAATGCGTGTTTCTCCATGAACATAAGGAGAAATGGATGGAGGGTCTACCATAAACAACTTTGAATGGGGTAGTTTCTGTGGATGAGTGGAAACCCATGTTAAAAGAAAACTCTACCCATGGTAGATATTGACTCCGTGTACGAGGCTGCTCCATAACAAAGCATCGTAAATACGATTCCAAGCATCTGTTAACTACCTCTGTTTGTCCATCAAATTGTGGGTGGTAAGAAGTACCCATTCTTAGCCTTGTTTGGCTAAGTCGAAAAAGCTCCTGCCAAAAAGCACTGAGAAAGATAACATCCCGATCAGATAGAACTGACCGAGGAATGCCATGAAGATGCACAATTTCTCTGCAAAAAACCTTAGCAACAATCTTGGCAGTATATGGATGAGAAAGTGGGATGAAATGAGAATACTTGTTGAGACGATCTACGACAACCAAAATTGTATCAAAACCACCAGATTTGGGAAGTCCTACAATAAAGTCAAGTGAGATATCTTCCCAAATTCTTTCAGGTACGTACAGGCAAGGGTTGTAGAAGTCCAGCAGGTGCTAGAGCTTGGTATTTGGCTTGTTGACAAACCAAACAGTTCTGAACAAAGATCTTAACATCATGTTTCATCCTTGGCCAGAAAAAGTTGGAGGAAAGGCGCTTCAAGGTTTTTAAATATCCTCCATGCCCGGCAGAAGGTGTATCATGAGACTCTGAAAGAAACTTTTGTCGAATAGAAGATTGATCCGGAACGACCAACCTTTCCTTGAAATAAAGTTTCTGATCCACAAGATGAAAATCTGGTTGTAAGGAAGGATCATGGTGAATAGCTTGAATAATCTCACGAGTATATGTATCTGCTTGGAGAGCATTTTGCCAATTGGAAAAATCCATCGGCACAAAAATAGCAAGAGCCAGAAATTCAGCATTTAATAGCCTCCTTGAAAGAGAATCAGCTCCCAAATTGTCTTTCCCAGCTTTGTAAACAATTGTGAAGTTGAAGGGAAGCAATTTCATTAATAATCTTTGCTGCTCATTAGTAGTAATACGCTGAGAAAGGAGATACTTGAGGTTGCAATGATCTGTTCGGACATAAAAATGATGGCCCAGGAGGTAGTGTTTCCATTTCTACAAAGCTAAAACAAAAATAAGCAATTCGCAGTCATAAGTAGACTTCAAACGACTAGAAAAAGAAAGTCCCTTACTAAAATAAGCAATAGGATGGTCATCCTGAAGAAGAATAGCCCCTATTCCTTCTG